TCGGGCACCCCCGGCTCCGGGGACCGGCTGCCCCGGAGCTCCGGGCGATCCGCTGGACAGCTGAGCCCGCCCGGGACCCCTCTTCCCGGGACCCAAGAGAGGGTCGCTGCTGCATTCCCTTGCGCCCCCCAGCACAGGGAATAGCGGGGTACAAATCGCTCGGGAGAGCATTGCCGGCCCCGGGAGGGAGCGGGGATCCACCCGGCGTGCCGCAGCCATGGCTTTTGGCGCATCAGGAGTTGTGTAACCCATGGCAAAAAAACCCCTGCCAGCCGTGCTGGGTGACGGCAGCTCGCTGGTGCACTCTCCTGCTGTAGCCGGCAGCCTCGGAGAGGAGGGTTAAACGAGAAACTGCTGCGGAATGAAAATGTAAATATACAGAAATCCATTAGGATGCCTGGCTATTGAAGAGGAGTCCGAGAAGTGTGTCATGAGACAGATGATGCTAAACATAATCTGGCACACCATGTCAACGTTTTGAGATTGTGACTATTTTTGCAGCCGCCAATTGCAGTGCTCGGAACCATTTTATCTTTCCTGAGCACTCTTTCGATGAGATGTTTCTCATCGGGGATCAAGTCAGGAAATTCACCTGAAAGCTTTGTTGACCAAGAGAGCTACGTGTGTTTTTCGTGGGTCTCTTTTTGAGATGTACGGATGAATCGAAGACTGTAGCAAGCATCAAAGCTACAGGAACAGTGGACACAAATCAAACGTGTAACACTGCTGTTAGAGGCAATATGTACCCAATCGGGGATAAAATTGTGTAATCCTACCTATCTGCCCTGCTGGCCATTTCATGAGGTTAAGGTTATGTGTCGAAATGTCAGCAGTCTGTTTGGGAATGAAAGAACGTGAATTCAAAGGAAAAGGCTTTTTTTAAATTCTCTGTTACTAAACTGAAGAGAATTCGTTAACTCTGCTGATCATAACAAATAAGGACAGATTAATTCTTTTACATACTATAGTCAAGAATTTTTTTACTTTCTTTTTTTTTTTTAACATTTGTTGGTCTATATAGACTATATCCAGTACTTGGCAGCTGATGGCAGGCAGTGTAGTTCAGAGAAAAACTCACACTCTTAGGAAGATCTCAGCCATGCACCTCGTTCACTTGGGCACCATGCCCTGTGTTGCTCGGTTGTAGGAAACGTCACTAAGCTGTACCTCTCTGTTTTGTTACATCTTTTTGAATCATCCTTTCCCAAGCAGCGTTCAGACTCCATCGTTCTGTTTTGCGATCGTATTTCAGCAGCATTTTACATCAATTTACTTAATGGTTTTTATAGCACCTCTTCGCCAGATGTCATCTGGGAGCGTTCCTGGCTCTTCTGGAGAGAGTATGATTATCTATCTACTTGCTGGTGTTGCGGCTTTCAGTGGTTTATTTTATGTAAGTGTTTTGGGGCGGAGCTGCTTGTGCTTTCTGAGTTGCCATGCTAGAAGGTGTGTTCTGGGTTAAAGAACATGATCAAGGTTCAAACCGTCAACAGAACGTAGGCATTGTGGCGTAGAGCTAAGTACAGCCTAACTGAAAAATCAGCTCTAGAGAACTAGTGAACCTGAATGCCTATTGCTTGCCTGATTTACTGTTGCTTTGGTAACTAGTGCTGGGTCATTCTTAGTGGAAAGCATATTTAAAACTGTGTGAAGTGAATGTGTCCAAAGCTGGAGTGAGGCACCTGCCTCTAACCCCTTGCCTCTTCTTATCAACCACGAACATTAGGAATATCTCAAAGTGGGTGAGACAGATATGAAATAAGCTGTCTGAAGCTGCAAGGGGAAGATTATGAACCTTGTTAATTTGGGCACAAAAAGAAAGGTTAGTTACTTTGAAAAAGAGTGTTAAAGTTTTGTAAACATCTGCTTTCGTTAAGCTTTTCAGTAACCATTCTCTTCCCTGCTTCTAAATAAGTCAGATTCTGTGCTTCACATCCCTGAATCCTCCATTTTATAGCTTACATCCACCCCTCTTCCCCAAGATCTGAGATAGTGATTAGCACATCCCCAGTACCTATTTCCCTGTTCCACAAAATAATCCTCTTGAATGGTAAGTAGCTATTCGTTCAAAATACCAAACTTGTTTGATTGCATATCCGGAGGAATAACAAGTTCTCTTGCTGTCACATGTTTACCACGTTAGAAAAATAATAGTAATAATAATCTTATTGTAATTACCTTTTAAAACACTGTTTTCAATTCCTGAAACACAGCAGCACTTCAAAAGGTGCCTGGTATATTGTATTTGCTTTCTAACAATGGAGAAATATGAAATGCATAAATATATTCCTATAGCAGGCTGTTAATTTTTTTTTTTAACCTTGCTTAGCATAAATTTTGTATGCCTTTTAAGATAGACAGTAGCACTTGCTTAAAAACCCTTCTCTCCCTCTCCTCTCTTTGTGTTTGGTAACTTTGTAGGGATGTGGCAATAAGTTCAGGTGTAATTTCCTTTCAGGCCTACAGAGTAGTCAGTTCATCCCGCAGCAGGTTTATTGACCATGTGAATGTTCTTCATGAGAGAGCTGAGGGGCGGAAAGGCAACCCTTGGTCAAGGAAGGGTGAGTTGAGCTCTTCTCTCTTGTTCCCTGGGTACACGAGGATCTGGAACAGATTTCTGGGTTGTCTAATCAGGCCTTAACGCTGTCCAAGTCCTTGTCTGAACCGTGTGAGTGGGAGTCAAAACAAAGGTGGTTGTTCTGTTACAAAGCTACTGCTGCACAAATTTTGAGAATGATCTGAGTAAGGCAGTGAATCTGACCTTTGATCTGCCTGTGAGAGTCTCTGTGGATGGAAAGAGTTGATGTGTGAATCATTAATCGTATAGTGGGTATTTGATTTACTGGAAGCTTAATGAAACTTGACTGGATGCATAATGCTGTCAAAATCAGTTTTGTTCTTTCATTTGTTGGGGTGTAGGAGAAGATACTAAATTTTTCTCAATCAACAGGTTGGGTCCAGGCCACAGGCCATCAAGGAACACAGTTCAGTAGGGAAAAAAAAGCCTCTACCATTTTTTTAAATATTCTAAATTGGACCAGGTTTTTTTGTCCCGAAACTTTGATTTTGTCCTTTTTGATTTAGGGTTAAATGAAAAGCAGGCACTACGTAAATGTATGGCAAATCCTTACTTAGCTCTTCGTGCTTGGATAATTAGACCATGTTAGTTCAAATACTTGTAATGGAATGTTGTCTCTGTCTACATCAATTAGTGTTACAGTGACATTAATGTAAAAGATAGAACTTTGGCAAACATGGTCTTGCTAGGAAAAGCAATTAGCAAAATTACCTAAGGAACTTTATATCTTTTTATTTAGTTGTTATTTAAAAAAAAATAAATAAGCTACTGAAGCCAGAGCACTTGAAGCTCTTCTTTATTTTTTCTGATACTGACATCTAGGGAATTGATTTAATATATTTGCATGCACACAAAGAATAGATTTGAATAAAGTATGCTGAGTTTAAATTTTGTTTTCAGTGTGAGAACATGATTTGAATTGTCTACCTCTATAATTATTTCTTTTGAAGTTGTTAGCCTTGAAGTTCCACAACACATCCTTTAATTTTAGAACTTTAAAATTACAGATTTCAAGATTTAAAATGGTAAAACACCTTAATTTCCTTTTACTTAAGCAGCTGGAAGCAATACAGTTTTTATACTCCATTCTTTAAATACTGAGAATTCAGCCACGATTTTAGTGCAGTCCTTCCTTGTCCCTAAAATAAAAAATAACCAGGACCAAAGGATATAACTTCTCCCACTGACCTGGTATCCTCCTGCTCAGGGCAGAAGTGAGGGTTGCCCTCATTCCTTTCTGACTGCCACAGTCAGAAGAACACAGTAGATGTGGAAGCATTAAGCAGACCTCCCAGTGCACTCCTAGTTGTATCAGTATGTTCCCTATTTTCTCTTAAGGTTCACTTCTGCAAGGTTCACTGAGTTTTAACCCTAGCCTACCAAAATGTTGGAGTGGGATACCTGCAGGGTCAGTGGGGTTGTTGGCCCGCTGAAGGCTGTACCTGTGTTGCCCAAGGCTGGGGTAAAGAGAGTACTCAGTGCTCTGCAGCTTACCTAATTCTGAATTTGGGTACTCTCCAGATGCCCCATAATCTGATGCTTTGTGCTGCTTAGTAACTTACATAAATGTCACAGCCAATGGCAGATGATAGCTGCCTCTCTTTTTATTGATAGGAAGAAGTCCAGAAGAAGTCCAGAACATTTCTAAGGCCGTTCAGTGAACACAGTTGAAACTTGTTTCCTATATTGTTTTCAATATTGGACTTCTGAATAAATGCTCATCCTGGAATTCTTAGTTGGACTTCTGAGTAGCTAATTCCAATTCACAATACAAAACTACAGTTGAATCAGCTCTTTTTAAAAATCCTTCTTCATTCCCAACTGTGTATTCCCTAAAGAGGTTTCTGTTCTTACTTTTCCTACAGAACCCTCTGTGTGCTTTCTCAAAAAGGATGACATCCCTCTTCTTCCCCCGTTTTTTCCCATTCCCTGCATAGTTGTATTTTGTGTGTATCTCGTCATAGAGTGTTACCATAGTATTGCTTTTCCCAGAAGTGCCACTGCAGCTTCTTTCCCTGTGCATTTAGAGTCAGTCCTTACACTTTTTCACAGCAAGCATTGCTGATAAGAGCAATTGAAAATTCCATTGTCAAAGTAATCTGGTATTTTTTTAGGGCCACATTAAATCAAGCTCAAAATAAGGTCTAAAACGGGGCTGGTAAAAATATGAAGTGGCAGACAGAAAAGCAGCACATCAAACAGCCCGTCCATGGTGTGTTTGCTGCATGTGTTATCATAACTGAAGAACTTTCTAGGTGGAAGAACTTAATACTGGGGAGCAGGTGATCAGAGAGAGAGTGTTCTGATAGGATTTTTGTGGTTTCTCATCCAGGGGAAGATTCACCCCTCGTGCCTGAACCCAAAATGCCTATTACAGAGAACTGTACATAGCAAACAAGTCTGTCAAAACAAGAGAAACAATCAAATCCTATTTTGGGCTTGTTTGTTTGTTAGAGGGTTGCAATATATTTAATTGTATTTTAATTAATGATATCAGATTTTAAAAAAAATATCTGATAGCAAATCTCCTGTAGCTCTTTTTAACTGAAAGCTGTTCTCAAATTTAGTGGGATGTAAAAAGCCCCTGGCAGAAGCCAGACTCGAAGTAGCAGTAGGAAATCTGGGACATCATTTGAACTGTAAAATGATGTTTGGCTTGCAGGACGTTCTAGTTGCTTATTTAGCAAATACTGGGTTTTGTCTTCCATTTGTGTGTGTCTCCTTTAAACTTGTTCCTGATTTCCTTCCTTTTTAGCTATGACTTTTCTTTTTAACATGATGCAAGCTGATTCAATCTTTCTAATCTATACTCTGCTTTTACACTTTCCAGACTAAAATACAAGGGAAATCTCTTTCCAAACCCGAGGAAGTTAAATACAAACAAAGGACAGTCGTTCACCATTGCGTACCTTGCAGCCTACCTTGGGATGACTTTATACCTTCTATTGTAACACTCCATACTTGTGAGACTTTAAAAGAACTACCTGTGTTTGCAAGGCCAAACCATATTGAGCTTATTACTGAACCTGCTTTGTAGAAGGCAGTTCTGAGATGGAGAAGCTGGCTGTTCTGGATGAATGCACTCTATATTTGACTGTCCAATAAAGTGTACTGAATGCTGAGCTTGGCTGTTAGTCTGTTCTTTGTGTAATGGGTTTTTTTTTTAAATATAGTGTTTTCTTAAAGGGACATGATCAGGTTGCATAATGTAAAGCTTTGATTTTTTTACTGAGCAATGAATGGACTTGTCTTTAAATCTGAACACAAAAAGGTAGGCTTGCACTAGCATGAGAAAAACAAGAAATAAAATCGATCTGTTTAGCTTTTAAACAGATATAAAAGAATAACATAAATTCTGACTATGTCTCTTTAAGCTCTTTTGTTTCAATTCTCACGTAGTTTTTACACTGTATTACAAACATTATTTCTAGTTCTGTTTTTTCACATGGTGAGTTGGTTCTAGTGGTGAACTTGAGATGAACACTTGATATATAACTTTCTTTCGTTAACTTGGTGTTAGTGCATGTCTGCATGGTGGTTGTGCATCTTTGTTGCTTTGTGCTGTTAGTTTTTCATGACTTGTCTCAGCTGAGTTTGGAGTAATGCATGACTGGGAAACACTGTTTTTTTTGAGGTTCTAAAGAGCCTGACCCACAGTGGTGTAGACAAGTCTTTAAAAGAGAGCTGGGACTTGTAAGGAGAAAATAGTCATAACTGGTCATATCTTCAAGAAAGTGAGTCCTGACCACTTAAAAGTAGCAAGTTATTTTCTTACTTGTATACACCTAGTTTCAATAAGGGTTTTATTCAGCCCTGCAGACCTTGCCTTTCTTATCTGAGCACTATGGTTCTCGCAGGGGTCACAGGGCATTCAATATAGCTTTAGAGAAAGCAGAGGCAGCAGGGATTGCAGAGTACCTGTAGCTAAGAGAAGGCCCCAATCCCATCTGGAAACTGCGAACTCCTTGGGTACAGCATTACTGTAGCTACTGGCAGCCAAGTCAGCCACCTTGAAAACAGCCCTGTGCAAACTGAAGGCACACCTTGGCTTGCAGTGCTTTTAAGCTGCACGAGCTTCCAAGTAGGTTAGCAAATGTCTTATTCCCAGTGTGTTAATTCCACTGCTGGGTGCAAACAGGGCAAGAGTCATGCTCGCTGTGTCACCTGTGATAGCATCATCACTGGCCCTTTTCAGCAGCGTGGGTCTGAAGCAGCACTTGGCAAAGTCCCTTTTTATCCTTCCCTGCACTCCCACCTCTTAGAGTCACTTGCTTTAAGCCACAGTTTCTTTTCTTATTCCACTGAAGCAGTTATGAAACTCGGTAATTAAGAATATGGTTTCCTCATCTTGTAAACATCTTTTTTTTTTGTACCATATGAGACAATATGGGGGGATTAATTATTGATTTTTTGCTGAGTTTTTTATTCTGATCCCAAAGCTTAGCTTCCCATTTTAAATTCAAATGAGGATGGTGGTAAAAAGTAGTTGATGAAATTTTTGTTGCATGCATGCACTTTACTCTCTTTATTGTATTAAATAAATCCCTAGAAGGTGATGAAGAGACGGATGAAGTCACTGAAGCAGAGAAAGCCACGGAAGAGGCTGATGCAGCAGACGCTGCGGGACCTGCAGCACAGGATGAGAGTGCTGGACCTGCAGCACAGGATGAGAGCTCTGGGGAATCCCCAGAAGCTGAAGGGGAGAATGACTTACCGGCTCCAGAGGCATCCCCTGCTGTGGAGGAAGCACAGCAGGAAGCTACTGCTAATTCAGAAGCTGCTGCTAATTCAGAAGCTGCTGCTAATTCGGAAGTTGCTGCTAATTCAGAAGCTGCTGCAGTGCAAGGTTAACTTATGAATGTGGTTTTTGAGTGTGTTGTGTCGTGCCTCTTACAGAACATTAAGAACAAGCATCAGTGTTCCTAATAGAGTTTGTCCTGCAGTGAAAACTAATTCAGGTGTTAACTTGACATATATCATGAGCATAAAGTAATTAAGGTTATTAAATCAGTGTCTCTGAAAGCGTCCTGCCTCTGGCACCAGAGTTACTGTCTGAAACAAGTAGAATGAAACCTTTATTTTACCACCCCGTCCTATTTCTCTTTCTTAAGATCTTTTATTAAGTTAAGTATGTAATATGATCAGTTAAACAGTTGTTTTAGGGACCTAGTTCTTAAGGATTTGTTAAGGAGTCTAAATACTTTATTTCACTGGCCTTTCCAAAGATAATCATACTAAATAATTATATCTGTATCAACGTAACTTCAACAGAATCTTGCATAGCAACAAAAATGCTGTCATGGTCTCAGTTTTAAGGATATACTAGGTTAAAATTTCAACTAAATTTCAGATTTCAAATGAATACAATAATACATCAGATACAATAAAACATCAGATTGGGGTTAAACACTAAAATTGATCGACGGCAACATATTCAGTATTTTGAACTGTCAGGGTGTTTGAAATATTTTGGTTTACTGTGCCTTTACAAAAATTACAATAATGCAAATGCAAACCTATCTGTAATTTGCACAAGATACAGGATTATAATTTAATTTGCTTGGGGGTTTTTTAGCACTCCTTTTAAAATTTTTTATTTATTTTTTTTTTTACTACTAACCTTGAGAGGTTCTATCTAAAACACAGGTCAAACTGAGATTAAACGTGTTTTGTCCACTGGTCCATGGTAGGTTGTCACAGTACCTGGAAAGGTGTTAACAGATTCTGGAATTACTGTTGCCTTTTTCCTCGGTGACTCCAGTGAGGGATGGATGCATCTTAGCTGCCTTTTTAACAAAGCAACTTGAGAAGTGGTGCAGCACTTCCAATGCCTTTGTGAAAGGTCTAGGTATGAATGGGATTTTAATTCAAGTGTGAATAGCTCCTGTGCTTGTCCATAAAACAATCCAGTGCAAACAACATTTAAAAACAATACTCAGTCTGATCTGTTATAAGTGATACAGCTGGTAGAAAGCAGAAGTAAGTATCTTGGTAGTGATTATCACTGCTTACATATAAAAATATTTATAGTATCTAGATATCTTATATATATATATAAAATATATATAAATATATTATATATATAAGATATATATCTAAAGATATTATATATATATATAAATATTAAAATATCTAGAACCTTAAAAATTTCCATTTCTGTGGAATATTTAGACCATTTCATTTAGAAAAGAAACAGTCTGGTATATGTTAAAGTTGGTGAATTAGAGCTGTTCTAAGAGGTATGTTTTAAAATGTCTTGCAGTGTTTACCTGCTCTACAGAGCAATTGCAAAATTTCACTTTAGTTTCATAAGCACTTGCTTGTATTTGGAAGTAGTCGTGTATTCCTTTCACAGTGCTTATCTAGGAATAACTGTTAATTGTTGGATAGGGTGGGATCTTCTGTATGGTGAGTATTTCTGCCATTTTATTGAAGAGGAAGCAGCTGTAGGATCTTCCCCAAGAAACATCGTGCATAAGTTGATTAGACCTTGAGAGGAAATTCTTTCCTGTGAGGGTGGTGAGGCTCTGGTGCGGTTTGCCCGGGGAGTTTTTGATTGCTCATCCCTGGCAGTGTTCAAGGCCAGGCTGACTGGGGCTTTGAGCAACCTGGTCTAGTGGAAGAGAAGGTTATGGCAGAGGAGTTGGAACAAGATGGTCTTTAAGGTCCCTTCCAAGCCAAACCATTCTGTGATGATTCTGTGATTAAGTCAGGATCCCATTCTGGACACAGTGATTTCATGTTCTTACTGATCACTATTTGAGAAGAAGAAATATGTCTCATAGCTGTTAGTTACTGGTGTTGTCTGGAAGTGCAGGAGCTATTTAGAAATTACTGATTTCTTAGATCTATTTTCTCTGGCAACATACTGAGGAGAACAGCACTAGAACCACACTTCTGTCATGCTGAGATTTACAGGGGAGTCTGAGGGTCATCTCAGGTGTCCTCTGTCAAACCTTGCTGCAGTGGTGATTCTTTGCTGTGTGGTAAAGCTGGAAGAAACAAACCTGTGGGATATAAAACCATCGAGAAACTGAAGCAAGGGAGCGTTCTCCCCATTACAGCATTGCCTGATGTCGTCGGTGTTCCCGGGGCGTTAAAACCTGCTCCTGAGCACAGCTCCCTTGTGCCACTGGTCACCAGTGAGGATTGCTGTAAATAGCTGCTGGTGACAGGTGTCTCCAGCCAAGGGTGAGCCCTGAGGACCTTGTCAGGGGTTCACACGAGGTCACATCCCCGGGGCTCCCTGTGAGCGCTGTGTAACCGGAGTCCTGCCCTGGGAGGCTGGAGAGGCTCCAGCTGCCAGGCCGCCTTAGCACTCGCTGCTCCCCTTGTCCCGGCCCTGCCTGCAGGAGAACAGACCCTGGAGCAGTTCTTCCGAGGAGTTCTGGCCGCGGGAAGGAAGGCCACAAGCAGCACGTGGTCTGAAACCGGTATCCCTTTCCTTTAAGCTGTCTAAAAACTAGTTTGCATTGGCATCATACTTACAAGAAGATGGGGGTTTTGTTTCAAAAGTTCTCTGCACTCTGTACCATTTTGCTCAGTGTCTACTTGCAGACAACAGCTATTCTGTTGTAAAAAAAATTTATATTCCTAATTAAAATCCTTCTGGAGGTGCCTTTCAGCTTTGTATTCAACTATCTTTATCATTTGTGTTATCTTCATTTAGCGGGAAAGAAATGTGTATCTCCACTTTTACTGAGGTAGAGAAGGACTTTTCTTTCAGAGCTTTTGAAAAAAATACTTAAAAATTTAAGTAACCTTTATTGGTTTTGTTGGCAGCTTGATGTTACTTCTGCAGGTGAAGGTGCAAGTATTTTTACCATTACCAGCAAACCTCTGCTTTTTCAGATGCAATCGTTTCTTTTAGTTTATAAAGCTTTCTGTAATGTTTGGAAGTGCAAGGTGCCAATGGACACTTGTCTCCAGCTCCAGTACACATACCTGTGTATATACCTCTGGTATGTATACAGATACCATGAATGTGTGATTATACATGGATGTGCAAAAAAATGCCACCCAAACCAAAACAAATATCAAACAAACAAACAGAGAAACCTCCCAACCCAACCTTGGAGTTAGATGCTTAATACTTAATTGGGGTAATTTCTGTTCCAGAGAGTTCATTGCAATTGTACCTGCCTGGAATTTTCTTCTCACCTCAGTTTAAACAATTTACAATCCACTGCTGGTGTCTGGAATTCTGTGAAATACTGTAGCCAAAAATAGTACTGTGCTGTGTTACTCTGTTCCCAAAGTTTTAGTTTCCTCTAATTTCTAATTTTCTTTCTCTTTTTATTGCTTGAGCTGCCATTCTTGGTCACTGCCTGATGCTGGTTAAGTTCCTGCTGTTCTCCTTCTAGTGTACTCTGTGTCTGGGGACCGTAAATTAAGATAGTTTTTTCTTTATATAGAAAAATGCTGTAAAATGCACAGATTGGCCAGCTGCTAGTTGGATTAGACAGGGTTGTGACTTCTAGTTTTTGTATTGCCACTATAAACTTTTCTCCAACTCTGGTATTGAGGCTTGAAGTTTTGGCATTATCAACTGGAATAACAAAAGCAATTAGCCCCAGTCCATGCTTGCTGGGACTCCTGACTTCTGTAGCATAGGTTCTTTTCTAATTTTCGAAAAGAAAATGGTCTCTTCTCTGTTTGTTATTTCAAATACCATTTGGGTGAGTGACTAGGTTTGGGGAGGATTAGTGTGTGAATGTGCCAGTGCTTTCCATGTCAAGCTTCAAATGGCATTACAATGCCAGTTGTCTGCAGCCTAGAGAAACAAATATAGGCTGCTCTGGACAAGAATTGCTGCTTTCGGGACAGGACTTTTCGCTGACCCAATCACACAGCGATGCCAAGCAGACAAAAAAAACCCTGGTATGATCAGTGCACATTGTTTTTGCTTGGTAAGTTACCAAATTCTGGGTGTGCTGACTCTGGAAGTACTTCGAAAATGGCCAAAGAGTCCTCAGAGTTATTTGCAATTGCTCATATTCAAAGGCTTTCAGAATGACATTGCTCAGTAAAACAGACACATCCTTCCAGGCATTTGTTTGTGTGAGATGGAGAAATGAGGATTGTTTTCCTCTTCACTGAGTGTGGTAGATTAATCTAGCTAAATTAGGCTCTAGAAATTTGAATTATGTGAATATTGTCCTACTGGGGAAGCATCCGTATCTGTGGAACTTCCGTTGACTATTTCTGTTTCACATTTTATCACTTTTTTTATCTGTCTCTTGGACTGCTGCACTTACCTTTTATCTCTCTGATTGCCATACACTGGCCACTAGTCTCTTCTCTCTTCCTCCTGTTTTTCCTTCATTAAACAGAGCTAGTAGATGTGTCATCATAGGATAACTGGAAAATCCCTGTTGGAAGAAAGTGAACAATATTTAGAAAAGACTTCTGTAAAAGTTGTGAGCATCTGAAGACCTAAGTTGGTAAATGGAGAGACTGTTCATTTTTGAGCAGCTTAGCTGAAAAGAGAATTTTTCAGCATGCTTTGGAGGAGGCAGATTTTGGTAAAAGGGAAAAACCCCTAGAGCTTCCCAGCTAAGAGTGCAAACAAATAAATGGGGGAGAACTACTAAAATAACTGTCTTCCTATTTGTCTGTTGTAGAGCAATGAGACAAGTAACTTCTCAAGAAAAGATTAAAGCTGGTAAAAACACATACCTAATGCCTAAATGTTTGCCACTATTAAGGGGAAAGTAGACTTACTGCTTTTACTAACATTTATAGCTCATTCTCAAGACTTAAAAAGAATCCTGAAATAACTGTATGTATTTAAAATGGAAAGCAAGAACTCACTTTGGACAGCAAAAACTGTTAGCATTTACTTTA